GGTGCTGAGAGCGACACGAAACAAGACAGCGGCACCATGCTGGCTCCTGGGAGCCTGTGAAAATAAAGGGCGTTACTTTGATTTGATTATTTCTGTACAAGTGATGGACTCATGTTTATCCGGGTATCAGTACGATTGAATTGATATCGGGTACATTCTGTAATTTGCCGATAATTGGCTGTACAATTGCCTTATGAGGAAAATTACTGACAGTTTACAAGGGGAATGTATGAGTGCTTTGGCTGTTCCCTAAGGAGCGCTGTTAACTATATTGTGGCGTGAAATAAATTATTATCAGTGTAGATTAGGTGTAAATCTATCTTTCCTAAGAACAGTATAATGGTACTACATTGCGGTTTCCTTAGATATAAACGGGTAAGAAGGTGTTCACGAATGTACCTTTGGCAGTGAAGGATCGTTGTGGGTGGATTACGAGTAGATTGTAGAGTCGGGGTTTGAAGAATGAAATAAGGTTTTGGCGAAATACAGAATGGTTTTCCAAAATGATGAGATAGAACGAACGAACCTTTCAAGGTGCGATTTGGTTGATGTTGTTACTGTCATGGTAATTACTGAGGCTTCTTGTGGCGCCATCATTACCGCTTTTATTAGATTATGATCCTGAGCAATGTCTGAATAAGTGCAATAGTGAACGTATATATGAGCTTATATACGTATATATATATAATATATATATAATTTCTAAAATACTTAGCGAGTACTTATCAGTTACTGTAAATCTTACCATAAGCAGTATAGTATATATATAGAATACGATAGATAGATGATGAGAGAGATATAGATAATAGATATACTATAGATAGATAGATTAGATAATAAATGAATATATACAGGTATTTTCGCGCATGTGTGTATGCATGCTATGGATATACAAGTGTGTGTATGTGTATGTTAAGTTATATACTCAGATCTCACTTAGTAGATAGGGTTTTAGTTAAATATTACGTATTATATATATATAATAATATATATATAATATGTAATGGTATATATATATATATTAGTTATATATATATATATATAGTAATTATGACATAACACATATATTTTATAAATCATTATAATATATAAATATTTATTATATATTGGTATAGCGGAGGTTATGGGGTATATATTATAATATACTATATAATATACGTCGAGTATAAAGTATTACGCGTGGGGACCTTACTCGGAGAGACGAGAGAGATGAGAGATGAGAGAGAGCAAGAGAGAGAGTAATATCTCATATATAGCATACACTCACACTAAGGGTCAAGAGACTATTGAGCATAATATATTGTCTACATTTCAATAGGACCTATATATATAGTTCTATAGCTTATGACTCTGTAGATATGATACCTAGACTCAATGGGATGAGTTATTGATATTACTCGCTGTTATTATTGCGAGTTTGGCTGACTAGAACTCACGAACAGGTGGTTGCGGATAGAGGTATTAGAGGGAGATCACAGTAGGGGGAGAGTATAAGAGGAGGAAGGTGAGTTATTCTAGTGTGTGTTCTCGTGTGTTGTAATGTATAGTATTATTCCTATATTTATATATTACTATTCACAAAATATCTTTTATATTTATCCACCTATATATATATTGATATGTACACTATATAATATTTATATTTGACTATATATATATAATATTCTAGTTACTCTATTACTCGCTCAATATTTGTACTGGAGATGGTATGTATTAATGAAATATATATGCTATATATTTAATATTCAAACACACATCCTTATCAACTCACTTCACAATACTACTATCACACAACTACACACATCACATCTACATCACACACATCATCTATTCATCTTACACACTCTCATCATTATTTCCACACTCACACACACAATCACACACATACATTACATATAATACTTTACTCATATCTATCTATTAGCTTCCATATCTCTCTCTCTTCATTCTATTCATATTACTTATAATATCTAATCTATCATCTTTATAATGTAACCTCTCTTGGCTCTCATCTTTCTCATCTCTATCTCCTCTCTCATCATCTCTCTCTCTCTCATCTCTCTTCTCCCTCTCCCCGTCCCTCCTTCTCCCTCTCCCCTCTCCCATCTCCCTCTCCCCTCTCCTCTCCCTCCCTCCCTCGCCTCCCAAGTGGGAAAGGAGAGAAAAATCGGGTATGCAGCTGCGGTCTAGAGCTCTATAAGACCCCTTCGCCGAATTTAAACTCCAACATTTCAAGACCTCAACCGAACAGTAAAAATCAAAAGCAAAGTCAGCATAAAATGCAGAGACCCGGCCTCTGGCAAAATTAGCTCAGCTTACCCTGCACGGAGCCGAACGACGACGAGGGGCGGTCAAGGCAAGCAGACAGAACTTCATGGTGAGTGAGAGCGACAACTTCTACCTGTTCGGGAAGCAGCGCTGTCTTTTATACACTAAGTCAACCTAAAAAATAAAGAAAAGGAGTAAAAAATTAATGAATAAAAAACCCCTTGAGATAAGA